AGTTCACGGTATAAAATTGAAGTTACCCCAGGTTCATGCCCTTGCTCTAGGTCCAGATGGCAGAGAACAATTTTGGGTTGAGCCAGAGGAAAAAATCTAAGTATGACTTTGCAAACAAACACTTCCTGCTCTGCCCGAGTTACTGCTCAGTGTCCCCACAGACCTCAGGTGCCCTTGCCAGACAATATAACAGGATCAGAAAACACCAAAATGTTGTGAATTTGAGATGTTTTTGTTCTTTATAGCCTATTGCTAATATTTTTTTTTCCTTCTAACCCAGAAAGCTGCCTGCATAGCCTGGATGGGGTCCCAGGGGCTGATGCTAATATCAGTTTGCTCTGAAGTAGAGCGAGAAAGGAGTTTAGTCTTAGCTGATGAGCCTTGCAGGATCCAGCTATGGGTGTTTTGGGTTAGTCCCTTGTAGTCTGCACATTGAATTGAAGCCCTAATTCATGGCCCGTGCGAGCAATTGCTATGGATGCTCCAAACAAACAGCACTTTCTTTCTTTCCCGCCCGCCTGGCTGGTGCCTCTCCCGGCTGGAGCCAGGCACAGCTCCTCATCCGGCCTCCAGGGCACCAGGAGGAAAGCTGTGCTCCACCAGCCACGCAGGAAAAACAAAAATCCCAGCTCTAAAGGGATCAGCGAGGGCAGGAGGGCGGTGGTGCCCGCAGTGAGGGCACAGGGCACAGGCAGAGGTTGGCTCTGTCACTTGTGCTCGTCATTCCTTGTCCCCCGGTGCCTGCATGGCCATGGGGCCCAGCCATGTCCCCTGGGGAAGCTGCTGCTCTCCCAGSTCTCTCTGGAGGGCAGAGCCCACGTGTTTTGTCCCCAGGGATGGCCGGGACAGGGCTGACCTCCAGCCCTTTGCCCTTTTCCGCCCAGGGGAGCATGAGAACCTCCCGGGGTCTGGTGTTCCCAGCCGGCCAAGGCTCAGCTCAGCTCAGCAGGAACAGCAGCTCCCCTTAWGGGACGGGCTCAGGGGCAGCTGGTGAGCTCTGTCACCTTTGCCCACACATGGTGGCTCAGCATGAGATCCTCTGGCTGAGGAGCAGCTTTGSTGGGAGCCAGGGAAGGCTCCTGTGRCCCCCRAGCTCATAGCCAAGGAGCAAACACCGCGGCTGCTCCTTGTCTCCTGGGGAAAAGATTTACTGCCTGGAGTTCTGTGCTGGGYACATCCTGGGAGACAGGAAARTTGGTCCCTTGGGGATGCATATCCTGGCCTGTACATCTGGGAGTTCTCAACWATCCTGACTGTGGCTGGATTTTCCTCTGCAGTGGGTTTGCTGGCTATAGGGAATTGGGAAAGGTTCAAGTTTGAAACCTCCCCTGCTAGGACTGTGAGATGAGCCTTGAAGCAGTTTGGGAACCCTGCAGAGTTTCAGCTGGAGCAGCAGCCTGTCAGAACAGATGAGCAGTTACCATCTGCTGGATCCTGTGCCCTTTGTGCCATGGCTGATGTGTGAAAGAGGAAAAGGTCCCTTCCCTTCTGACAGAGATGCCAACCCTGCTGGCTGCTCGCTGGTGGGCAGTGTCAGGAGTCATCTGATTTCCCCACAAGGAATGATGACACCCCAGGTTCCTCGATCCTTGTTCCATCTTCATCAGCCCATGTGTCACTGACTCATTTATTTCAGCTGTGTGTCATTAAAACCTCTGCAATAACAGTGAGACCAGAAAAAGTGTAAAGCCYGAGCAGTGCTGTGCATCCTGGCACCCTTCTGCTGTTATTGCCTGGGCTTCACTCACCAGGTTTGGCACACTTCAGGCACTGCCAATGTTGCTGATGATCTGAATCATCTTAAAACATCTTGGGTTTTGAGTCCTGGCTCTCTGGTGCTGCCTTGGTTTCCTACCCTGCCTCTCCCAGCAGCCACATCCACGWTCCTCTCTCAGAGGAAGGAATAAGGCACTGAAACATGGAGAGTTTTCAGGCAAGACTGGGACATCTCACTGCCACTGGGTACGTAGAGTCAGCTTTAATCTCGCTCTTTCCCTCTGTCTTGATAGCTGTTGGATGGCCTTTTTCTCCAGAAAACCTCCTTTGCTAGTTAAAACTCTCCCTCAAAGGACAGSTGAGGCTGCTGTCAAGCAGTGGGAGAAGGTATTGCATGGCTGGGTCTAACCTGGGGACAGGCTCTTCTCCCCTCCAGGTTTTCTGGTTTCCAAAGAGTCACTCCAGATGTGAGGCCTTAGAAATTATATTCTTTCCCAAATGCTTGTTTCCACTAGACATTTAAATATCTTTATGGGACATTTCATCCTGTCTGCAGGGGCCAAATTCTTGTCCTTGGAGATCTCCTCTGGCACTGCAGCTTCAGTGKGAAACTGTCACTCYTAAACATGTAGATTTGTGTTTGGCSTCTTAMGAGGCAGGKAGAGCAGCAGAAACCCCACTCAACTGCCTTTAATCCATGTAACACCTTTTAAATACAGAGGTGGTCTAACCATTTCCACAGAAGCCAGCAGCATCCTCTTTCTCCCTCCAGCATCCTCTAAACCAGCACTAAAAAGCCTCAGCCACTGCCAGCGAGTTGACCCCTCAGAATGACWGCATTATGGTTTTTATAGAATAACACAATGATTTCCTGTGCTTGCATTAATAGAGRAGCAGCTGCATTGTGCTTAGTATTTATTTTTCAMKAAATGCCYRGAACTTCCCTGTCTGTGGCTTTCASGGGAGATCTCAGTCCCAGCTAYGCAGGGAAGTCAGCAGGGAAATAGAGAAGGGTGAGACCACAGTCACACAGAGGACATTATAAAGCCCATAAGTGATCATCTCAACAAAGTGTTTATAACACCTACTCAGTGTTTATGAAATTCCCCTGCTAACACTGAGGTATTTGTTCTTTTTCCAGGATGAGAGCCCGTGCCTACTGTGAAGACTTTCTGTTCCCAAAGGCTCACAGAACTATGGCAGAGCTGTGGAGCATTTACTCCAAAGCTGTCCCAGCAGATGGCAGAGAGCTGTGGACCTTGTTCCTGCAGTGTTCCTGTGTCACTGTGGTGATWGGAGCCCTCTTCCACAACTGGCTGTTGGCGTCCCTGGAGTACTCCTGGCACCTCTCCGTCGCAATGGCCGTGTCCTTCAGCCTGCTCCTTCTCCTGGCTCTCCTCCTGGTGCATCCTGCCCGCTGTGTCTTCAGCATGATCATGCCCACCTTAGGCACCAAGCAGGGCAGGAAGCTTCTCTTCTCAACCTGCACCATGATCGCAGTGGTGAACATAACGCCCAACATCATAAGCAACATTAAAACCATCCTGCAGGTTATTGAGTGCATCTGCAAGAATTCCTCTGACAGTCTGCTGAACTCAACTGCTCTGCTGGACAAAGTTGCCTGGGAGTTTGGGGATGCAATCCAAGAAATCATTCATCCTTCTTACAAGCCTATGAATGGACATTTTCGGTTTTTGTTGCTTCACAACAACTCCTYGATTTACCAGCAAATGCACCTTGCTGGTGAGAAAATTAGCAGAGAGTTCTTGTCTGTTGAGGTGCTGGTCAAAGACTCTATACGAGTGGCCAATAGACTGGTTGCTGGTTTCTTCGTGCTCTATCTCTGTTTTGAGTCCACCTGGTATTTGAAAAATTATCTCACCAACCTCTGCTTTGACAATTTTTACATCACCAAAGAGCTGGAGCGTTTAGCCATGGACAGAAAAGCTGCTCATCTGCTGGTGGGCTCATCCARAAAACTCCTCCGACCAACAGGCTTGAAGCTGTCCTGGGAAGAAGTGGTGCCATGCCTCGTGCGGGCCATGCTGGTCACCGTGGCCCTGGTGCTGATGCTGCTGGTGGTGGCCATGGACCACTTTGCCTTCAGCATGGCAGACACGGCGGTGAGAAAGGCAGCCCAGCTCTCTGCTGTGCCTRTCAGTCTCAGCATCAAGTACAAGGTCAGTGCTGGGGTGTCCTGTCCTGCCCTGTGTAGGGACCCCACTCTGTCACTCCACAGGAGGTGCAGGGGGGATTGCAGTCTTTATTTCCACGATCCTGCCTTCCCTCCCCAGCAGCCAGCTGGGAGAGCTTTGGGGCAGGAGGCAGTGGCACAGCCTCAGTTGCTTTTTCCATTGTACCAAATAGCAGACACGCTCTCCAAATTACAGCCCCTTGGGAGGTTGCAGGGGAGCAATTAGTGCTTCATGCTGCAAAGACTCTCAACACCAGGCAGTCAGACATCCCTGCATATCCAGATCCCTTCCCCAGGTAAAGGGGAGGAATGGGAGTCCCTGCAACACTGTCCCCCCACTGCAGAGTGGGGGCAAGCCCAAAAGGAAGGGGGAAGCTGATGAACACCAAGATGTCTCCTCATCTTACTGATGGGTTGTTCCTTCAGTAGAAATCCCTGCTCGCTGGCTTGGTTGTCACCCTGTGCAATCCTTCTCACAAACCTCCCCAGTTTCTATTTCAATATTCTTTGGTCTGATGTTTTAACTTCCCTCTTCTGCCACRCAGCCTGCTTCCCTCCCCAGCCCCAGGATCCTTAGTGCAGACGCCTGCTTATGATGGATTTACGATGGATAAACAGGACTTAGAAAAAGCCTCTAATATTCAGATATGCAGCCACTAATACTGTGGTCTGGATGATGTATTTCACCATAAATCTCCCAAAGTGAATGCCTTGTCATGATCTCTGTGACAGTGGATGAAGATGACAGATGGGACTGGGTCTCATCTCACTGAGATGGGACTCAGTGCCTGGACATCACACTGTTATCAGCATGAAGTGATCACACACTTCAGTGCCTTCTCTTAGTGCTGTAACAGCGATTCCATGCTCCCAGGATGATGTTTCTGTAGTAACCAGCTGATTTTGGTTTCCTCATATCCCATTTACCTTTTAACTCTCCTCATTTCAGGTCAAAATAGGTATCGTGGACTTTTTATTCAAAGTTTTTGGGATTCCTCCCAAGGAATCACYACTTGGGAGCTTCAACAGGGCCTACCACCATCATCTGATCTTCAGCTCTGCCCACTGCAGGGTCAGCCCCCCGACACCTCCCAACCCCTCTGTGCTGCTCGTTGTGGGGCTGCTCTTCTGCATCCTCTACACCACCGTGTTCCTGGAAACCTACGCACGCCGCCWGTGCCGCAAGATCGCAGCCTCCTTCTTCCCGAGCTGGGAGGAGAAACGAGCCCTGCACCTCTACAGGAAACTGTCCAGGAGGCACAGGAAGGAGCAAAACTGTGGGAAGAGCTGAGGGTGCTTTTGGGAACATGGCTGATACCAGAGCACAGGCTTCTGCCATAGCATCACACATTTAATTTTCCAGAGTTAGAGACATGTCTGGAAAAAAAAAAAAAAAAAA